TTTTAAGCCCCCATTCTGGATATATGTTGGGTTTTTTTGGGGGGGAGATAGAAAATATCTGATTAAGATTTATAGATGCAGGTGCCATTTTAGGGATATTGGCAAACATGCCCTAATCACTTATGGACATTCATCCAGCAGATTATTGCCTACTAGTAGCCTCCTCTGTTATTTCAAACCCTAAATCCTAAGACCTACCTTGGTGATATAAACACTTCATGATAATAGAGTTGGAAGAGTCTTTATTGGTTAACTAGTCCAACTCTCTTATTTTACAAATGAAGAAACTGAATCCCACAAAGAGCAAGTGATTTGCCCCATGTCACACAGCTAGTTTGTGACTTTGAGGGCAGAGACTATGGTTTAGTTGTCTTTTATCTTTCTCACCAGATTATCAACAGTGCATTACATAAAGTTTTCTTGAATGAGTAAGTAAAAGTTAACGTCCCACCTAAGGAAAGGATGGAGAATAGGGATAGGTACTAGATGTGACTTCATTGGTATGGAGAGATAAAGAAACTGTATAAATGCCAGTTGGTACTTTCTCTGAAATTTATAGTTTTAGAGAATTGCCTAGGACAGTGAGAGGTTAAGACTTACCTAGGATCACACAGTCAGTATATTTCAGAGGTAAAGGCTCAAATCCAGGTCTTCCTGACTGAATCCAGCTCTCTATTGGCATGCTACACTGCCTCTTATCTCAGCTAAAATTCCAACAAATAAAACACAATGTGGTGTATCAGAGAAAATCCTAGAATGGGGCTTAGATTTGAATTGTAGCCCAAATTCTGTCACTAACCAGCTATATGATTCTGAGGACCACCCAGTTTCCTCATCTGTAAAATGAGGGGGTTAGGACTGGATGACCCTTCACAGCAACTTCTAGTTCTAGAATTCTATGATTTCCATGAAACATGATCTTCATTGCCCAAATTCAAGTCTTAGAATTGTAACTATTCTACCAAAGAATACACTGTTGTTAACATTAGTTGGTCTGTGCTAATTGATCAGTGGCCAAAAACCACTATCCACTGCCCCATAAAGTCCATGGAAGCTAATGAAGGAAGCAGCAGAATATGGTACTCTAGCTGATAGGCATGAGCAAGGCCATCACCCTAGAGATCCCTAGGGTTTAAAACTGATACCAGTTTTAAGTATGGCTGACTGAATTTGTATTCTGTGTCCATAGTATATAGCACCATGTCTAACTGTAGTAGTAACATAATAAAAACATGTTGATTGATTGGTCTATACTATGGGTATGGGGTGGGGTGGGATGTGGCTGGCCCTCAAGGGCCTCAAGTGTGGCCCTTTGAATCCAAACTTCACAGAACAAATCCTCTTAAAAGATTTGTTCTGTAAAACTTGGACTCTGTCAAAAGTCTGCACCCAGGAATCTAGAAGGCCACATGTGGCCTCAAGGCTGCAGGTTCCCCAGCCCTGATCCATAGACTCATTGATCTAGAAGGGATCTCCCAGGCCATCTAGTCCAACCTCCTTATTTTACAGGCCCAGGGAGGTTAACTGTCATACAAGTAAGAAGCATCAAATGCAGGATTTGAACCCAGATGCTCTAACACCAGTGCTAATGCTCAGCTGTACAAGACTGCCTACCCAATTTGACCCCTTCTCTTTCTCCCAGAAACAAATTTTTGAAGCCTGAAATTCATCCACTGCTTGCCAACACTTCCTTAAAACCTTGTAGTGAATTTCTGGATTTGATCCTATCCTTTATCTCTGGCTTTCTCAAACTCATTGATCTGTTCACCTGATTCCTAGTAGTTGCTTGTTGTACAGTGTTCTTGGCCTCCATTTGTATTTGAGAGAAATGATTATTAAATAACTAATTATTGGGGAGATACAGGATATATCTTTCTAAAACTTTATTCTCAACTGGATCAAGACAGAATCTGAAAGACACTGCTGATAATGAGATTGTATTAATTTTCTCCCCAATCTGGTCTAGACCCCACCCAGGTGGGGAAGCTCAAGGTGTTCTATTGGGTGGGGACAAATTCTTTGATTAGATTGCCCTAGGGTGGGGGTCCTTTGAAAGTAAGTGACCTAATCAAAATCTCATACCCCAGCCCCTCATTAGAATAGGTCCAACTCTCACTAATTGTTAACCAATCAGAGACAATTGCTACCCTCAGGAACACCCACTCTTCCAAGGGCACATACTCTTTTGAGTGGGTTCCATGAAGGGGTTTTTGGCATTAGAGTATCACTGAGCCCTTTTATTATTGCTAGCATGATTAATAAAATGACAAACTGCCCAGAAGTTATGTCTCGGACTTCTTAAACATCACACACTGAAAATGTCCCATTGCTTTTCCCTTCTTATTATCCGAGAGGGAGATTTCAGTTAACACTAAAAAACTAATCTATCCAATATTCTACCTTCACCATGCTCTGCCCAAGGGCAAGCCCTGCGCTCCAGTATGAACCAAACGTAATCTGAATGATGTTGACTTTCCCTCAGTATTGTTATTGCCTTTTTCACGGCATCAGTCAACACCTGTTATCTTTGGTTATAGGATAAATAGATCTGTTGCTGGCAAACCTGAAGCAGTTAATCACTAACTTCTTTGCTGATTTTGAAGTTTAAATGTACATGGAGTCATATGCCATCATGCCAGTTCAATTTTGTTAGTTTCTTCTAGTGACCTGGCTCATGCTTCTGACATACAGAAAAAAAATCTGATCAGAATATAGGCTTCCAGTTTTTAATGCTATGTTTTAAAAGTTGAAACTGTTTATCAGATTTGTTATATTCAAATTATATATTTTCCATTTAGAAATTGAAATTTTAAAGAGAAGTAACTAATCAGACTCAATGCACTATCTTTTAAAATTTTTAGTCTAATATTAGCTTAATAAGAAAACATCAGCTTTTTTTACCATTAAAGATAGAGTAATTAAAATGTCCTGGCACTTACAAAGCACATGAAAGAGGTCAAAATCATGGTTTGCATTTTGCAGTTGGGAAAAAGCATCTGATTGTCATGCTCTGAATATAATAGCAGTCAGTGGCAAAGCCAGAAATAGAAGTCCAAACAATTTATGCTTCTTTTCTGATTCTGAACAGAGCTCAATGTTGGTGGCCCGTTAAAATCACGCTACAAGAAAAATTGATTGACTCACTCACCCAGTTATACGTTACTTGATAGCATACAATTAGCTTTTAAGTTATAGCTTTAATTAACTGCCTTATTGACTTTCCTAATATAATTTAAATGGCATAAAAATCAATTGTTAAAAAAAATTAAAACTAAAACCAGTTAGGTACAGAATAGATGACTTTTGAAATCCCACATTGTCAGTCTCAACAGACAGGCAAAAGACCAGAAAAGATGTCTGTACTTCAATCTGAAGAGCAGCAGAGGACCAAAGCGGTAGGTAATTAGATATTAACTGGGTAGAGCCTGAGTGGTGGTTATGAATCTCTTCTGAGGGTGGACAGAGGTGGCTATTTGCTAGCCTGATGTAAAACACAAGAGGTCTCTCTTTTTTCTGGCATGTCTCTCGTGGGAAGAGAAATAATAATAGCTAACATTTACACAACACTTACATGCCAGGCACTGCACTTATTTTACAAATATCTCATTTGATCCTCACAACTCTGGAAAGTAGGTGGTACTATCCCCATTTTACAGGAAATGGGAGCTAGAGGTTTACTGACTTTGTCTAGGGTCACACAGCTAAGTATCTTGAGGCTGTTTAAACTCAGGTCTTCCTGACAAGGCCAGCACACTACCGTTGTGCCACCTAGCTGCTATTAAGATTTATGGCTAAAAAAAAGCCATTTCTGTGACCTCAGTATTAGTAAGATAAAATGGCTCTTTTCACATAAAATGACATTTTAAGGGGGAACTGACCTACGATAAACTCCAATAGGAATGCCAGGATCAGACAGAATTGCAATTCCCCATATGGACTGGGCTATTTCTGCACATGCTCCCTTAACATTAGGCATCTCTCCTTGGAGGAGGCAAATCACTTGTCTGTGCAAGCTGTTGTAAAGGGAATTGCTGCTCAGTCATGAGCAGCATTAGATGACTTCTCAGGTCTCTTCAAATCGTACAAATCCAAGACCTGACTAAAATCAAAGTCTTACTGGTATTCCGGGTATACTCCAAACATCATTCAAACTATGTCTAATTTCTTACTTGAGCTTACACCCATTCTTACTTCCAAAGGTTCCAAACATTGCAAATGTTTGATTCAGTTCAATTACCGTATCCCCAATTCTGGGTTATTCAGAGGATCCTTGCAACATATTTTCCATTAAAAAGAAAACTGGGGCAGCTAGATGGTGCAGTGGATAGAGATCTGGTCCTGAAGTCAGGAGGACCCCAGTTCAAATCCAGCCTCAGACCAAACACTTGACACTTACTAGCTGTGTGACCCTGGGCAAGCCACTTAAACCCAATTGCCTCGCAAAAAAAAAAGAAAAACACCAAAAACCACCAACCTAGAACCCCAAACTCCCAGCTTCTAAAGCAATCCCTTCTATACTTAACCTGAAACTAGTCTTTTCATTTGTGAACACTGAACCTGGAATCAGAAGATGTGGTATTATGTCCAACCTGATAACTTCTTAGCAGCGACCCCTGCCAAGTTGCTTCCTCAACTATGAAATTAGAACAGTACCTAGCCTCCCAGGGTTATGGCAAGGACCAAGTGATATATATTTATAAAACTGTTGCTCCCTTTCCCCTCAAAAGACAACACTACCTGAAACAAAAAAGACTTCACACTTTACTCACAATAGGTCTTTTAGTTGTTATGCATAACTCTTTTCAAAAACCCAACTGTCTTCTCATAGCCAACTTCCTTTTTTAAGTAACCAAGATCAGAATGTAGCCATAAGGGAATGAGTTCAGTGCCTAAGTACCTCTTCACACCTTTAACTGTTTGATTAAAATAAACAGTATTTACTAGTATGAACCTTAACACTTTGGGGCAGAAGTGTTAATTACCAAATATCACCAAAGAACTTTAGTCTTTTGTACAAGCTTTATTTTTATTTCATTACAATTAAACAGTTTCCATGCTCTCCTTCCCAAAAGGTGAATTTCTCCAAGTGTGCAACAGGCATTTCTTAGCTACAAAAGAATATCACTAGCAATAGGTATCAGTCTTAAGAAAATATGAAAAAAAAATTTCATGTAATTACGACAAAGTGCAGAACTTGATGTAAATTAGTTCCTAAACACATAAACTCTACAATGTTTCCATGAGCTAAATGGATAGTTAACAGGTTTAGAATATGACAAATGTATTAGTACTAAGTAAAAAGCCCCTAACTGAATAATGGTTGCACCTAAAACCAGTCAAGGAAAGTCTGTGGGGGAAAAAAAATCTTACTAGATTTGTGCCATTTATCCTGCTAGAGCTTGGTAGTGAATGGACACTACTTTGTGTAAAATAGTAAAGGCCTAGGGACAGGCTGCCATACTCAGCCCTCAAATGATCAGAATACTTCTAGTACTGTTTTACAGTAGTTCTCCAACAATTTTAAGTATAACCAGTAAGCATTTCAAGCCTCTAATTATTCTAATTTTCCTTTACTTGACAATATGGTCATCCTTAAGATACAAGGGATGGACCAGTGCCTTGGACACAGTAAACACTTTAAAAATGGAATCATTTACTCATAATAAATTACAAAATATCTAGTTATTGCAAGATTTGGACTCACTTGCTATTACCTTTTCATGCCAACTTAAATTTAAATTGGGAAGTGTGTAAGCTCAAATTTTTATATTACATTTAAAAGGCTTGACACATTAAAAAGCACAAACCTCAAGTGAAGGCACCATGAATAGAAGTCATGAATAGGACTAGTCATATCTGCAAATTGTGTAAGCATTAAAAAAGGGTTATATACACAATACATTATGTAGACATTATGGGGAATTATTACATCTCTGCCAGTTCTTAGAAAGGCTGGTCTAATAGAACATACATACACAGACATGCATACAGCTACAGTTGCACATTTGTTTGCAAAGGCTATTTGTTATATACTAAGGATAAATTGTGCTTGGGTAAGTAAAAGGGAATAGTTTTGTTCAGGATGCATAGTTATGTCTAGAGAGAGGGTAGTGACATGAATCTGACAAAAATAAAAGGGACAGCACCATTTAAAATAATAGCTAGTTTTGTTAGCAACACCTGAGATGGAAGAACATTTACTTTTACCTGGTCTTTGCCAAAAGAATATAAAGTTATAGTGGAAAAATGAAGGTTACAAAAAGGCTACTAAGTACAGATGTTTTATGGTTTAAATGAAGGGATTTAACTAGATGTAAGAGGGTAAGGAAGAGGTCAGATGCCTAAGGAGACCAAGAGGTTAGCAGTGGAGTAACAGACTAGAAAACTTCATTATTAGTGTTTCAATCCTTGAACAAAATCAATCTGCATTGTCTCAAATTAAAAAAACAAAACAGTAAAATAAGCATAACATAGCATTGCACCTTATGTTAGGAAAGGAAGATGTGATTGGACTAAGATCTAGCAATGACATACACTAAATATGTAGATATTATCAATTAACTGGTGACAATTTCAAATAGCAGTTTGTGGTTTCTTGGAAATACAGCTGTTACTTTTATATACTTTATACAATAATAACCTTGCTAACCAAAACAAGTTCTAGCTAAAATACAAATAACAATTATATTTATTAGTTCCTACTGTTTTGGATTGTAGGCTTTATTGTTTGTTATCTCTCCCAGATTGTAATTTTTAAAAATCATCCCTTCCTCATAAACCTCATTTACTTTGCTGTCTTCCAATTTGTGAGTTGTGAACTTCAAGCCCTAGTAGACCAACTGTAATTCTACAACACTCCCTAGATATACTGACAATTTATTAGTGAAGCTCAAGGGAATCCATTAACTAATGTCATTGGTGTAAAGAACAAGTCGTGAGTCATTAACATTTCAGCATAAGCATTTACCTGAAGACTAAAACTAACACATGGCAATTCCTCGATAATTCCTAGTGTTCTGTGCAAGTCCTTTGGCCTCTTCATCTGAAATACTTCAAACATTAAGAAACTGATTATTATTTTTCCCCTCCATTCCCTTTCAAAGCTACTGGTTGCTCCAAAAGAATAAATTTGACATGTAACAATTATAAAAACATCAATTTCTATGGTCAATAGTAATTTTATGAGAAACAGGTTTTCTGCTTGACTGATACTAATGTACTAATTCATTCAACCAAATTTTTTAAATGAAAAGGTACTAATGGAAGACAATTTATTGATATAACTTAATGAATTAGTCTTACAATCTACCAAATCTTAGCTGTATGTCAACTATATGACATTAATTACTAACCACTCTATTAAAGCTGTCTTGAAGTCACTGCAGCTTCAACATTTATAGCAGCATTGTCATTTAGCATTTTTTTTTAGCTTTGAAGAGTTTAGGCCTTATGCCATCTATGAGGGAGTTCAATCAACACTGAATTAATATTCCCACTAAATAAATTTCATTTCCCTGAAATGAAAATCGGAAAAGATTTTGGATCTAAGTAACTTAGGGAACTTTCAGTAGCTAAACCTGAAACTCATATAATCAGGCATCTACTAGTTAATTTCAACTAAAACTGCAATTTTCTTTTTGCCAAAGCCCTTTTCTACCTTTTTTCAATAGCTTTTTCATGTTATCCTACCCTCGCTGGTTTGCGTCAATCACCGTCCTGTTAAAGGTGAGCTTTCATTCCTTCTCTGCCAACAGCATTTTCTTCAGATGTGTACAGACCTGGTGAATCTGCTCTCCTACTTCTCTTATGTTTTAAAGATGATTACACGACACAGCAAAGTCCTGGTTCACCCTTGAGCTACCAGCTACCCACCTTTAAGACCTAACGGCTAGATCTTAGCAATGAGGCAAAACCATCCCATACATAAGAAAAATTTAAAAAAATCTAGTTCTTCCACTATGATAAACTAGGAGGTGCCAACTCCACTCTATCATCACTGCTTTCATGTTTCATTTATACCCTCTTCACATTTCATACCAACAAAACCTAATGAAAATGTTTGAAGATGGTCAAGTTTATTTTAGGTTAAGTTTCTATAAGCAATGAAATTTAAGAGAATAAGGCAAAAACCTCTGAAAGTTAAATTAATCCTACAAACTCCAATGGAAGATTGTTGTACTCCCCTACTTTAGCTCCCCCTCACTAGCATCACCTACTGAAACTGTACAAGGCACAATTTTCCCAGAGACTTTTCTCATATTCAAATTCTCCTTCAAAATAAGTCTAACTGTCTCTTTATCTAAAGACAACTTTTCAGCCATCATTCTCACAGTTAATCGGCTATTTGAACGAACCAAATCTCTAACCTTTTCAACATTTTCATTGGTCCTGTGGGTGATTGGGCGACCACTCCGTGCATCATCATGGACATCATCCCTACCTTCCTTAAACCTTTGTGCCAGTCAAAAACTCTTGCTCTCGACATTACTTCATCCCCATAAGCTTCTTTTAACATTTCAAGTGTCTCACTGGCAGATTTGTTTAACTTTACACAAAGTTTGATATGAATTCTTTGTTCTAAGTAACGGTCACTCATTTTTACACCAACTGGAAGCATGCTTTTCTACACTCTATAACTATAATACTGATTCAGACACCATGAAAGCATTTTTTCTGCAAAGTGAAGTATGTTCCACTAGGGTCACTTCTCTGCTTCCACAAGTCTGACAATTAAAACTAGTCTCATGTAATGGTCACACCTTGTGAATTATACAGCAGTGGATTAAAGGTTTTTGGAGGTGTCTCAGACTCAGATCATCCCAGCTTCTATTTTTCCTACCTACAAAAAAAAAGGGGGGAAAAAGGTATTCAGTACTGTTGATGTTGAGGCAAGAAGTTCTGCAATATTAACATTCTCTATTTTTAGCTCATATTCAATTGCTTAGCTTCCATAAGGAGTGGTGTTTCCCAATGCTAGAACTTCTCATTGGTGCATTAATTAGAAAATATATCTATATTTAACTTATCTATCAGATTTTTCCTCATCCACTGAAAATACTTCATTTAACTATAGTGCTTTTCAGTAACAGCATTAGCAAAGCTTTAGCTTTGGCTAACTTTAACCTTAATTTGGTCTTTTAGAGTGAGAAATTACTCCAAGGATTTACTTAGAAAAATCTGCAAAATTAAGAATCCGCAAAGAAACCTCTAAACTCACCAAGGTTCAGTTGTAACTCCAGACAGGATCCAAAGAATAGGTTTAAATCTCAGCTTTGGGTTCAATGGAAAATTATTATACCCTTCTTTCTGGGTTAGCCTCTTAAAGCACTATCTGCCTTAAGAGGCTACATCAAAGGGTTATTTTTAGTATTTACTATTCCCTCTCTCACATTTTATTATTTCCTAATTTTCAATGGGAATGTAACCTAATTGCTAATAATTCTGATTTATTGGGGGGGGCATTTTATGTTTATACAAATTCCTGAAAACACTGTTTTAGAGCAAGGGGAACATTCGTGTATCCCTATAGTGGTAACATAAGATACTCCTTTAATGGAGCTTAATATTAGGGATACAAATCTTACTACCTGATAACTGCAAAGTCATATAGTAACTTTCAGTTTTCCAAGGCCTTCGAAGCCCTCAGCCTCAGGAACTCTGAGCGCCTTCCTGTTCCTATAGCAAATGGGTTTTTAACAGTTCACATCTTCAAAGCAGCGACACTGTAGCCAGGGCAGCCCTTCCACGAAGAACCTAGAAAGACAAATTCAATGTTACAAATTAAAGCAGGCCAAGGAAACACCGGAGAGGCTGAGCCCTGGAGGGGCTGCCGGCGGTAACTTTGGGGCTGGGGCTGTCTCTCACGACAGGATCCGGAACAGAGGCTGATCGTTCGTCCCGGGTTTAAGAGAGAAGAGTGCTTTACCCCTCTGTTCTGGCCACATGAAGCACCATTAGCTTCAGGTGGGCAAAGCTCAAGGGGATGCGGCGATTTGGAGCACCGCGGGGAGACGCAGCGGGACGGGAGGCCTGGCCCCGGCCCGCAAGGCCACCCCGCCTCTACCCAACTCTTCCCCTCCCCCCACCCCCCGTGGTGCCACGGCGGGAAGGCCCACCCAGCGCAGCGCGCCTGCCCTCCGGGTCTCTGAACCCGAGCTCTAGCATGGACATGCATCTGGGGCCTGGAGTACCCAGGTGGGGAGTGAATAGTAGCATGGACTGAAAGAGCTCAAGTACCCTCCATCCTGGAGCACCCAGACTACCCGGGACCGCACGCACGCCCACGAGGGCCAGGCCGGGCTGGACCCGCTGCCTCCGCCGCGCACCCCAGCACGGCCGGCGCGCTCGCCCTCCAGGTCTTCCACCCCTGTCTCCTACCCCAGACTCCGGGCCCGGTCAAGAGGCAGCGGCCAGGGGCGAGGCTGCATGGGGCCAGCAGTGGGGGGTGTGGGGGGGTGGAAGGGGGAGGGCCAAAAAGCCCTGGCTACCTTAGGCCCTGCAGGCCGCCTGCATCCTCCACCTTCGCCGCCGTCAAAAAGAGAGAAAGGTGAGTCAGTGGCCTGGGTTTAACAAAAGCCTATAGCCTCGCGAGAGCCCGCCCCGCGGGCGCCCGCGGGAAGAGTGGATCCGCCAATCGTAGGGAAAGTGAGGGGCTGGGGAGGAGGGAGAGGAGCGGCTGGCTACTTGCTATTGGCCAAAAGCAGGAGGAGCATGTGACCTCAATTCTGGGTTTTTTTCCTTCCCCTTCCCTCTCTCCACCTATCCCCAAATGTAGAAACCTGTTATAATGATGCGTCCTCACTACCAAAGCTGCTACTGCTCTTATTTAGACTTCACCTTTCCCTCCTCAGATCCTGAAATGTACCTGGGTCATCTTTCCCCAGCACTTACCTCTTTACATTCCCTAAAGAGCCCTGGTGTAAACCTGAGTCCTTTTCCTCATGGCCCCCTACACTTGCCCCTAATGATACCAGTATGAGGAGAACGAAAGCCTGATCTCTTCCTGCTCTTTCCACCCCAACCTCCCCCCCCCCACCCAATGGAAGATCTAAGCCACGTTCATTTTTGAGATCTGTATTCCTAGCATAAGAGTATCGCTTGTAAACTCTTAGTCATAGGGTCATGGATTTCCAAGTAAAAGGACCTCAGGCCATCTAATCTAACACCCTGATTTTACAGGTGAGAAAACTAAGGCACAGAGAAGTTGTCAAGTCACATTTATCAAGCACTTGCTATATACCAGACACTGTGCTAAGCGCTGGAGATACGAAGAAAGATTAGAATTTTTTAAAGTTGCTGTCTTCAAGGAGATCACAATCTAATTGGGGAGACAGTATGCAGTTACATATATATGTATATGTATATGTATATGTATATGTATATGTATATGTATATGTATATGTATATGTATATGTATATGTATATGTATATGTATATGTATATGTATATGTATATGTATATGTGAACTCAGGGACAGAAGGTCGAATTTTAGCAGACTTGCCCAAGGAAACAGTGACAGAGCTGAGATTGGAACTCAGACAATTTAATTCCAGATAACAGTATTTTTCCCCTCACTACACTATGATGCCTCTCAATGTGATGAGTTTATTTTTGAACAAATCAAGTTTAAAGTGCAATAAAACATCCAGAAGGAAATTTCTAGCCACCAAGTCCAACACTCTTTCTGTTTCTTCGTGTGCTGACTTGTCAAGGAAGCCAAGTCTATAGTGTCTAGAAGGAAAAATGTCAACAATATCAAATACTACTGAAAGGTAAATAGGATAAGCATGAGAAAAGACCATTGCATTGGCAAATCACAAGTCATTGCTGAGCTTGGACAAAGTAGTTTCAGGAAGTGTGAAGGCAGCCTCAAAGTGACTGAAAGGAGAAGTAGAGGAAGAGGGGAAGTAGACTATTCTTTGGAGAAAGTTAGCAATGAAGGGACTGAAGATAGAGACCAGGAAATAGGGAAGCATTTTTTGGTGAATTTTTTAGGGATGGGAGACCTGAAATTGTAGGCATCTAAGGAGCTGATAGAGGAGAGACTGAAAGTAAGAAAGAGGGGAAGAATATGGGTGGAGTAAAGTCCTAGAGGAGACTAGAAGGGATAGGAGCAAGGAAAAATATAGAAGATTGAGCCTTGATAAGAAAGTAGATTATCTCATCCTCTGAACAAAGGACTGAGTGATGTGCTTGTTCCATTGTTTGTCCTTTGTTCTGGAAGAGGACCAATGACATCTGGAGGGTGATGTCTTGACTTGCAAGTGAATTGGATTTAAGTGAGGCAGAGCTGTGCAAAGTCACCAGCCTCACTCCTCCAGGGTCATCTCAGTCCAGTGACTAGACATGGGTCAGGACAACTAGAGATGAGCCTAGATGCAGTGGGAGACTTTGGCCTTTTTAAGCTATGGTCTTTCCCAAGTCTTAGTTTGTCTGAGGCAACACCCATTCAGTCATTTAAGGCTAGGTAAGAAATGAGGCAAAAGATGGCCTAATTTGCTACTCAAAAAAAAATTGAACTGGGAGGGGAAGACCCTCAGGGTTTCTGGCCAGAACAGAAACAATTGCTACATACACACACACACACACACACACACACACACTCACTGAGCCATCAAAACCCAAACAATGGGCTAGGACCTATTATTGGCCAATCAGTGAGAACCAGAATATTTGAGTTTAAGGCATGGTTGAGTAGTTCCATTTGAATCCTAGTGGGTTTTATCAAAGCCTCATTTTCCAGAGCCCAATTTCAAGAAATCATAAATGAAACTACATGGGACAAAAGAGTTAATTGTCCTAGTTTTTTAAAAAATGATAGAATAAATAAGTAGGGAAGAGGGAAAAAAATCTAGCCCCCAGGCCCCAAGATATCTTGGGAGATTTTGTCAATCAAAATTTATATTTTTTTGGGCAGAGCACTCACATGTAAGGGTATGATTTCCCATGTGGACAGAGGGAGAGGAGGAAGGAAGGAAAGAAGGAAGAAAGGAAAAAAAGAGGGGAGGGAGGAACTGGCCAGTTGGGTCTCCTGTGGGGCAGCTACTACTGCTCACAGATTGTTGTTTGTCCTTCATTCTAGAAGACTCAAGACATCAGGAGGGTGATGTCTTGATTTGCAGGTGAATTGGATTTAAGTGAGGCAGGACTGTGCAAAGTCATCAGCCTAACTCTCTCCTGCAGGGTCATCCGAACCATCTTATCCTAGTGCTTCCTCATGGACCAATTCTACCATCTGAGGACAATGATGAGAAGTCCTATCAAATATGGGAAGTCTGATTGCTATGTTTCTGAGACCCTAATCTTTTCTCCATGGGAAAAGGGGTGTAGGAGTAGAGGACAGATAGCAAAAACAAACAAAAAATCCCAAAACAAAAATCCAATTAATTGGAAAGGACATTAGAGAGGAAGGAGGGAAAGTGAAAGGAAAGAAAGAGAAAAGTGAGGATAGAAGAGAAGGCAGTTGGGGTACAAAGAGACATGGTGGTCAGAAAATGAGCTTGGGAGCAGTAAGAGTGGAAGTGAGCTGTAACACATTAAGAGTAAAAACCAAAACCAAAACCTTAGAAAATCACAGAATGGTCTATTTACTCACTTAGGAACAGAAGAGTAAGGGAGAAGTTTTGTCATTGTGTCTACTTCTGCAATGGACACAAGAACCTATAAAAGAATGAATGATGGCAATGAAAAAAAGAAAGTGGACCAATTATTGGGCTTCCTAGAAGAAAAGAACCAGAGAACTGCCACAGTAGGTGTCCCAGGATGCAGAAAGGATTCCAGGAGAATGTGCACTAGCAGAAGAGTCCTGAGTTTCTCTTCCCTGCCTCCCTCCCCAAAAAAAGGATCAAGAAGGAAATGGGTAGTAAAGTACTAGACAATGCAAAGTAATCTTCAGTAAGTCTTAAATTGATTCTAAGCTCCTAGTCTATGAAACTTGGAAGTTTCTAAATATGAATAATTCACGTATATATCCAAATTAATTTTGTGAAAGAATGATTTTGCCATACCACCAAGAAACACTACTGGCCACTGCATGGTCCTATTCACAAACAAGGGCTAAATTACTGGCAATTCAGTCCTCATGCTGACAAAAATGTGTTCTATTCAGCACCAGTGGGCACTCCAAGGAACACCAAACTCTATGATTCTTTGAGAGCTGGCTACCACTATCCTCTTTCTTTTCTCCTGTTGTGATTAATAGTACTTGTCTTAGTCTAGAGGTATAGTATATATTTATCCAATTCGATTCTTAATGTCTCTTCCACTCTTGAGGGGAAATTCTTAGGTCTTCCTCTTACTCACACCTGTGTGTGTATGTGTATAGATACATAGATATAGATATATATCTTCCATTCTGTCATATTGTGTAATAGAATTTATCATACAATCTTAATTTAGCTGTTTGCAGTTACATACCCATAAACACAAAAGGAATAAAATCAAATATATTAAAAATAATTAGCATTTGGATAGTACCTTCCACACCCAGGTGCCTTCAGCCAATCTATGGGTATTGCATAAACCTAGGCAGAGACAGTTTCAATCAATCAGTACGCATTTATTAAAGACCTACTATATGCCATGCACTGTGTTAAGTTCTTAGTAAACAAAAAGAGACAAAAGATGGTCCCAGCCCTCAAAGAGCTTACAATCTCATGGGAGAGACAAAATGCGAATATATACAAAACAAGCTATATACTGGATAAGTAGGAAATAATTCATTTGCTCAATCAAAAAAAATTTATTAAGTGCCTACTATGTGCCAGGCACTGAATTAAGAAGGGTTAGGTAAGGCTTCCAGTAAAAGATGAGACTTATTTATTTATTTATTTATTTGTGTGAGGCAATTGAGGTTAAGTGACTTGCCCAGGGTCACACTGCTAGTAAGTGTCAAATGTCTGGTCTGAGACAAAAGATAAGATTTTAGTTGGAACTTAAAGGAAGCCTGGGAGATTAGTAGACTGAGTTGGGGAGGGAAAGCATTCCAGGCATGGTGGACAGTCAGAGAAAATGCCCAGAGCCAATCGATGGAATATCTTGTTCATGAAAGAGTAAGGAGGCCAGTGTCACTGAAACAAAGACTGCATGGTAAGAAGTAAGGAATAAAAAGACTGGGAAGGGAGTGGGGTTGAGGAGGTTATACAGGGCTTTGAATGCCAAAGGAGGATTTTGTACTAGATCCTGGAGGTGACAGGAACACAGTGGAGCTTAATGAGTTGGGAATGACATGATCAGAACTTTAGGAAAACCACTTTAGTGGTTAAATAGAGGATGGAATGGAGTGGGGAGAGACTTGAGGCAGGTGGACTATTACAGTAGTCCAGGTATAATATGATATGGCCCTGAACTAGAATGATGGCAGTGTCAGAAGAGAGAAGGGGGTGTATTTAAGACATGTTGTAAAGGTGAACTCAACAGGCCTTGACAACAGACTGAGCAACTGGGAGGTTTGTGTTGCCCCTCCAGTAACAGGGAAAGTAGGAAAGAGGAGGTTTAGGGGTAAAGAGAATGAGTTGCATTTTAGACATATTAATTTTAAGATGTCCGCTGGGCTTCCATTTTGACATGTCTGAAAGGGAATTGG